CCGGCCACCTGAGCCCCTGGAGATCGTCCGTCGGGGGGGTCCTGGGGTGTGGGAGGGGGACTGCTGGGACAGGGGCTGGAGCCCCCACGGGCCAGCCCCCGGGTCACCCTCCCAGCCAGGGACCTCCCCGGGGCAGCAGGGCAGGGGGCCCCCCGTGTTGTGCCCTCTCCTGTGCCCCTGCAATGCCACAGCCCTGACCCTATCCTGACACCAGGAGGGTCCTGTGGAGCCGGAGACCTTCCTGAGAGCTGCTGTCCAGGGCAAGATGCCCGTCATCGAGAAGTTTCTGGCAGACGGTGGCCCCCCTGACACATGTGATGAGGTAGCGTCCCCCATGGCCACTGGCCACCCTGTGCCTGTGCCTGGCCACCATGCCCTGCTGTGCCCATTGGCGAGGGCTGGGAGCCCCGGGATGGGGCTAGAGGTACGGCTGGGCTGGGCCAGGGGGTGATGGATCTGTCTGCCAATGTGGTGCCTCGTCCCCCCAGTTCCACCGCACAGCCCTGCACCGCTCCTCGCTGGAGGGACACATGGACATCCTGCAGAAGCTGCTGGACAGTGGGGCCACCGTTGACTTCAGGGACCGGGTGAGGCTGAATCTTGCCCCTGGCTCCATGCTGGTCTGAGCCTCCTGGCATGGCACAGCTAGAGCAACAGCGGGGTTGGGGTCCCTGCAGCAGGGCAGCGCTGTCCTCACTGCCGAGGTGGCTGTGGGCAGGGTTCTGCCTGCTCAGCCTGGGCATGGGGACTGGCTGGGGTGGGGGATGGACATGGAGCGGGGGTGTCCCCTGCCCTGACATGGCTCTGTGCACCCAGCTGGACTGCACCGCCGTGCACTGGGCCTGCCGGGGTGGGCACCTGGATGCCGTCAAGCTGCTGCAGGACCGTGGGGCAGACCTCAACCTGAAGGACAAGGTGTGCAGGGCAGAGCTGGGGGGCGCGGGGCTGTGCCAAGGGCACTGGCATGTGCCAGAGGACCAGCGCTGGCCCTGTGTTGGGTTATCTGGGGTGGGTGCTGATCCGCTCTGGTGTCCATCTCCTCCCCCACTCAAGCTGCTCAGCACTCCCCTCCACGTGGCCACCCGGACTGGGCACCCCGACATCGTGGAGCACCTCATCCACAGTGGGGTGGACATCAACTCCCCAGACAGGGTGAGTGCTGCAGCCCTGCAGCCAGTGCTGGGGGGAGGCAACACTGATGCCCCCGCCTTGGCTGACCCCTCCGGGGTCTCCCAGAACCTGGAGCGGGGCACGTCCAGATGCACACTCATCCCTGCCCTGGGGTGCTGGCAGCCGCATCCAGAGCTGGGGTGGGCTCCGTCCCCCTTGTCCTCGTGGGTAGGGGGGTGTGCAGGGAGCTGGGGAGCCGTGCTGGCGACAGGCAGGGCGTCCCTGTCCCCAGAGCTGGACCACGATCCCCAGCGAGGTTGTGTCTCTCGCAGGAAGGCGACACGGCACTGCATGATGCCACACGGCTCAGTCGCTACAAGATCATCAAAATGCTGATCCTGCATGGGGCCGACATGATGGCCAAGAACGAGGTGAGCAGGGGGGCCAGCACTGAGGCCATTTGCAACCCCACCATGTTGCACCACGCTGGCCCCAGCCTCTCCCTGCCCCCTCTTGCAGGCTGGCAAGACCCCCACGGACCTGGTGCAGCAGTGGCAAGTGGACACGCGCCAGGCACTGGAGACCAAGGAACAGCCGCAGGTGGAAACGGAGGTCCCTGCGTGATGGCGCTGGGCAGGGACCAGGGACTGGGCTCAGCTCCAAGGAGCAGGATCCAGCCAAGACTTGTCTGTGTCAATAAAAGCCAACAAAGAGCAGCTGGGGGCCTGTGGGGCTGGGCAGCCTGCACTGGGGGCAACGGGGCTTGGAGGCGCCGGGTTATCCAGGGAGCTGGGCTGTCCGGCAGCTAGGATACTAGGGACTCCAGTGTCAGTGACACCACGGGGCCAGGACACCAGTGGTTCAAGGGCAGGACTCCTCGCTGTGGGATACCCTGGTTGCTCACAGTGCTTTGAAGTCACACCTGGGCAAGCTCAGGGAGGAAAACTACATTGAGGGCAGCTCAACCCAAGTCCACGCTGTGCTGGAGGCTGGGGTTGTGCTGGAGAGCAGCAGTCATACCCCTGCCACTCCCGCATTCCCTGCTGGAGCCATCCCTGGGGGAATGCAGCAGCCCCTTTTTGCAGGCTGGGTCACTTCTGCTGCGTGCAGTGCTCATTGCTCCCTACCCAGAAATGCTCCCACTCGCCCATTTACACGAGACACCAACACCCAGAGCAGGTGAACCCTCCCCACAGCCCCGGCACGCCCTGCAATGCCTGGTTCCTCCCTGGCTCTGCAGCCCAGCCCGTGTAGGTGGCAGAGGGATGGCTGCCAGGGCTGGCAAGCAGAAGGGAAAGTGCAGCTGGGGCGGCTGGGGCTCACTTGGAGGGGTGCTGAGCTCCTGCAGCCAGCTCCTGGAGGGGAGGAGAGCATCCTGAGCTCACCCAGTACCACCCCCCATGTCGTCTGTCCAGCCGGGTTGCAGGTCCCTCACGTGCCCCGTCAAACATTAACA